CACACACACACACACACACACACACATATATATATATATATATATATATATAGCTATATTTAAATTACCGTTTATTTGTGATTTATTTAGCCAAACATAACTCGTGTAAATAAAAAACTTATCTGTTATTTTCAATGGTTACGTGTGTATACATGTGTGAAACTGCATTTTATAATTTTTCGAATATATATGATTTGTGATTAATTATACCATTGAGCGCGAGTGCATTGGTAATATTTAAAAATGAATATAATATACCGTAACAGAATATACTTCGGTCAATTTATTTCAGTTTATTTACCTTCCTGCTTCAACGACCGAATGCAAAATATGAAAATCTGACTACTCTAATATAACTAGGTCTTGCACGCGATATATTTGTTTTGTAATGCAAAATATGTTGTAAAACGTGTGATTCTATTGAAAATCTCAAACGTCGAAATGTAACTTTGTAACATATTTTGTAACATAACTTTATAACATATCTTGTAATACAGAAATAAATTTGTCACGCAAATATTAACCATTAACTTTTAATTCTGACTCGCAGAAAAAAGTACTTGCGCAAATTCGACAGGAGTAAAATATAGTCACGCGGAATTTCCGAAATTTGATGTGCGACATTACTTAACAATCGAAAGTTCTAAAGAATGTAATGAGAACAGCGAAAATTCCGACGCGATGCCATTAACGCGGGTTAGCACATATAGACGTATATAAATATAAAAGACGCACCTCGCGTTCAAGGTATAAAAAATAAGTGCAATAACACTCACCGACCGTCGAATTGTCTCGCCTCTTACCTTTGTCTCTTTCTATCTCTACCTCTCGGTTGCTCCTGAAAAGATTGATATAGGTGTGTAATTATTATAAATATATAAAAATATTTTAATCCGATTATTATAAGCAGATTTGAAACAATTAATGCACGCAATTTGCAACATATCAAAACATTAAACGAGAAAATAATGAAATCATTCTTCCATTGGATCAAAAAGACATAATTATCAGGTAAATATATTATTTATCGTATCCTTTGCAATACAATTGTAATTTACGAATTTTATAAAATGATAAATCATTAATCCCGTCGCTTTTTAATTACAACCATTATTAAAATGTAATTAGTTGCGGCAAATAAAATAATTGCGTAGGTAGAATAAATAAATTTACTCACCATTTTCCGCATCGGTGGTTGTCTGATGGCCCTCGACTCCTCCAGAGACAGCTCCGTCGCACTCCCGGTATTATGATTTTAACGCACTCCCGGTGATTACGATCAGCGCGTAATAAGCGGGTGAGCGAGAGTGGGAAACACGCCGACGATTTATTTGCGATCGCGAGCAGACAATAACAGGACACCGTACACGAATGCTGTGATATGCAACTATAAAATCGCCGAAAATCACCGGAGCAAATACCGTAAACGGGACGACAAATTATCGGCACGTTCGCGGGCGAGCAACAATCGACCGACCCGCTCCACTCGACATTATGCGCGCGATTAATAAGCGAAGCTGAAAAATGCCTCGGCCATTTTGCTGTGGACCGCGGCGTTCGCCCCGAAAATAAAAGTCACTCCCGCTCGTGCGTTCGTTATGCGCGTACGTGTCGCATAAAGCGTGCACTAAAGCGCCAATCGAATATCATACACGAAACAGCACGATTTCGCGTACCTTCGCAGCGCGTCCAAACGATCGACGGCCAGATGAATGGACGCTGCCGACGTTTCATTGCGCGACGCGTACACAACGATACTCGATAACGCGGATTATAGTCGCGCGATCACGCTACAATTACCCCATGATAATCGCGAGTTAGTCGCGATCACTCGATGCCTTCCAATCGACACTTCCGAATACTCATCCGTGCGCAAAATCCACCATTAGACGGACGGACAACGCGAAGTACGCGTACTACGTACGATCTACGACCAAAGTGGCGCGAATAAGACAGCAGCGGTACTAAGATAACAGCGAATTCAAAATATGACGTTACGAAGATGGCGCGCGCTTCCTCCCCGCAATCTGCGTATTGCGGCACGTCCGCGCTTGTTTCACGGTGACTATACATAATCCCTCTCTTTTCACGCGCGATGTCGTACGATATATTGAGATTTCATAATTTTAATACTTTACGTGTCTCGTGCGCTGCGTAGCAACACTCACAGCCACTCGTATATTATTGCAATATACTCACGCGATACTCCGACGCGATGCGAGCTGGCCCGGATCTAACAATAAGATGACGAGAACTAAGATTCTGAGAACAAGTGACGACAGTACATATCGCGTACGACACAACCCCTTATGCAGGATTCACACCGCGTTCGATGTCCGACGTACGACGTCCGATATCCAATAAAAGAATAGCTTTCCAATGGAGAATTGAATTCTATATTAAAAAGCTGTTCTCCTATTGGATATCGGACGTCGCACGTCGAACATCGGACGCAGTGTGAATCCTGCATTACGTTACGTTAATCCTAAATAATTCACGGAACAAATCGCGAATTCGACGTCGCAAGCGACACAACCGAGTACTATTACAGGATTCACACCGCGTCGATGTCCGACATACGACGTCGATATTCAATAAAAGAACTTTCTAATGGAGAATTAAATTCTATATTAGAAAGCTGTTCTATTGGATATCGATGTCGTACGTCGGACATCGACGCGATGTGAATCCTGCATATCGCGTTTCCGACGCAATCGGACGACCACTTGACAGCGATTGAACCCTATCCAAGATCCGCGACACCTAACGACGCCGGCCGGTAACACGAATCGCGATCACGCGTTCGAGAGTAGTTACGATTACATCGAGAAAGCGTATAGACGGCCAACCATGCAAAGGACGTCGACTACGCGCGATCTATTGCGCGACTTGCACGAGGCGACATGTAAAAAATGACGCTGCACTACGCACACTGTTTACCCTCGAGTTGTATACAAACGACACGTTTGGGTTGATCTCTCGCGGAGAGCATATGTAACTCTCTCCTTTCACGCACGATGTCGTACGATATGTTGAGATTTCATAATTTTAATACTTTACGTGTCTCGTGCGCTGCGTAGCACACTCACAGCCATTCGTATACTATTGCAATATACTCACACGATACTCCGACGCGATGCGAGCTGGCCCGGGTCTAAGATGACGCTAAGAATAAGTGACGACAGTACACAGTACGCATTGCGACACAATCTCTTGCGTTACGTTAATCCCAAATAACTCACAGGACAAATCGCGAATCCGATGACACGCAAGCGACACAACCCGAGTACTATCGCGTTTCCGACGCAATCGGACGACCACTTGACAGCGAATGAACCCTATCCCAGATCCACGACACCTAACGACGCCGGCCAGTAACACGAATCGTGATCATGCGTTCGAAAATAGTTGCGTTACACCGTGAGAAAGCGTCTTCGTCGATCATCCGCACTCTCGAATAATTATTCGCACTCTCGAATTATTCAGATGTAAAATCAGACAGAGACGGGCCGACTACGCGCGATTTATTGCGCAACTTGCATGAGGCGACACGGCACTCGCTCGCGGCATGTACAAAAAACAACGCTGCACTACGCACACTGTTTATTCTCGACTTGTATACGAACGACACGTTCGGATTGTCTCTCGCGGAGAGCATATGTATCCTCTCCTTTCACGCGTGACGGCGATGCATTCAGACTCGACAGTTTTAAAACTCCCGTCCATCGCGAAATTAATATCAGTTTCTCACATGTTCATACGATACACTCGCTCTACGAAACAGTGCAAAGTAGCGAGAATCTGAGACGACTGTGAGAGCAGCGGGGAACCCCACTACATCGCAGGCGACATAACCTCACTTGCGTCCTTAAATTCCACGTAACTCGCAACACGAATCGTGAATTCGATGCCACAAACGGCACAGCCCGGTACTATCGCGTAACTTTTTGACGTGTTTCGACAACGATTTACCAGCTTTGGGAAGTAGATACTATCCACGATCTATCGCGCGACACTTAATAAGGCCGGCCGGTAACACAGATCGCGATCGCGCGTTCGAAAGTAATTACGATTACATGACGAAAGAATATCTTCGTCGCGATTACACTTCGATCGACATTCCCGAATAATTACTCACACGTAACATTCAGCGTCAAAGACGGGCCGACTACATAAACGACACTTACTACGCGCGATTTACCGCGCGACTGGTACGAGACGGCACACGGCGGTTGCTCGCGGCGCGTGCAAAAAATGTCGCGCGCGCTGTGTTTACCCTCGACGCGTACACAAACATTGAGACGCTCCGCAACGGAATTTCGTTCATTCAGACGCCTAGTTGCTCTTTGACGCTCGGCGCGGTGCGTCACGTCGCGTTGAGACTCGATGATTTTAATAGTTTAGCGTTCCCCGACGCCGTGAAATAAAGTCGCACACACGCGACATATACAAGTGATACCGCACGGTGCGTGTTATATCGTGTTATATTGCATGAAACAGCCCGATGCTATCGTGCATATATCTTTTTAACGTGTTTTGATCGTTCTATCAATCATTGGACAGTCAATCCGTTGCCGATCGTGCTTTCGTGACGTTTGTGCGATGCCAACCGGTAATTAGGTTAAGTTAGTATCGTGCGTGTTAACTGCGATCTAACATGATAATCTATACTTGGACGCGATCACAATCGACTATGACCATATATGATAATTCTTACTTTTTCACTTGGACGCGATCACGATCGACTACGACCATATACGATAATTCTTACTTTTTCACTTGGCCGCGATCAATCGAGACTTCAGTCAACGTTCAATGTATTTATACTCATTTTCGACGTGTATAATTCGCTTTCGAGAAGATCTGCTTTCTTTCATGATGCGACAAAACGGACTTGTATTGGCGCGTTGTATTGGTACACCGCTACGCACAGACATCGACCAATCAGAGATCAGTATTGTTAGCTACTTTTCGTGTGCAAAAATTCTACCGTTTGAGTGCAATTGTTTCTTTTCTTTCTTTCAGATATTAAAAATACATAGGTTAGTCAATTTCTTACGGTTTACATCTTAAAGCAAGGTTGTGGACAAGGGCTAGTTCTTTAGCTTAGGGCCGTGGCACAAAGAAAAACTTAAACTGTAAAGCGTCTTCTACAATGGCAGTAGGAGTAGTAGTAAGAAATAAGCAGTAAGCAAATTGACCAATTCCATTCTTACGTTTCAAAAATAATCGATTGTGATTGGTCTATTTACTTACTGCTTATTTCTTACTACTACTCCTATTGCCATTGTAGAAGACGCTTAAGATATAAGCAGTAAGCAAATTGACCAATCATAGTCGTTGATTCTTGGACCGTAAAAAAAATCAGCAACTAATTGGTCAATTTGCTTACTGCTTACGTCTTACTTTAGGGGCTGAGCACAATAAAAGGAATAAGGAACAGGGAATAGAGAATAAGGAATAAGAAATACTGAAAACAAGAAATAACGCTATTCCTCTGTTTCTCTATTCTGCGTTGATGAATTACTCCTTGTCCACAACCTTGCTTTAATTCTTAAGCCGTAATAAATTGACCAATCACAGTCAATTATTTTAAAAATAATCAATTGTGGTTGGTCAATTTCTTATGGCTTAAGAATTAAAGCAAGGTTATGGATAAGGAGTTAGGTTTCATGTTTTAATATTGAACTGTTCTCTATTCTCGATTCCCTATTCATTATTCCTGTTATTGTGTTCAGTCCCTAAGTTTTTCTGTGTGTCACGGCCCTTACGTCTACGGTTACGGAAATTGTGTGCGGGAGTCTTTACATCGAGCCTATGATTGGTCGACCTCCCCGCGTATACGCAGTACGCAAATTCGTCTACAGATGTCGCGATAATACGTAGATGTAAGATGACGATACAAGGCAAAGTTTACGCGCCGAAACATCACGTACGTTGTTCATTCTCGTTTTGTGCGCGTTATACTGAAACGTGACTTCGCGCGTGCGTTTCGTAAAACATGACTTTTGACGGCATTCGTGACGCACGGTACGTTAACCTTTATAATACTATGGCGTGTGCACGTTGAACTCTGCGTGTTCGGTTGATTCATTGGACTAGAGATTTCAAAGAATCTAACGTGACATCATATCTGTTTATCCGCGCTCCGGGACAAATTATCGCGTTCCCTTCGCCGGCTTGTTCACTCGTTGAAGCTGTTCAAAGGGTGAAATATCGAGAGTATCGTAATACCGTAATATCGGGAGTACCGTAACACCGTGGCATCGGGAGTGCGTAACGTCGTAAGACCGAGAGTGTGTTAACATCGTCATTCTGCGCAAGTTGGAGCATAATGGCGAGACGGAGAAAGAGCGATGCAATCGCGAAAGCTGTCTCCGGAGAAACTAAGAAAGATGCCACGCAGACACAACGACCGGTGAGTCAGTTTATTTGTTGTACCTGCATAATTATCTCATTGATTGTCGTAACTAATTGTGCTCTATTGTCTCCGTAATTAAGGAGAAACCGCTCCGATCCTTTGTTCGTTTATGATTTAGAATTTATTAAAAGTCGTGTTTGAAACGGAATTTTGTATGTCTTCGTTATTCATAATTTAAAATTTCGAATGGTGTATCGAAAATAACTGATTATATGGAGGGTTAAAAGTAAAGCGTCTGCAAATAGATATTTTATCATGTATGTACTCGCTCAAAAAAATTCGGTCTAAATTCTCGCTCTATATCTATATAAATCCAAAAATAATTTCTCAAATACGATACGTGTTTATTGTCGAAAAACATACATGATGGTCGGAAATAGTTGCTCTTCTATATACAATACCATCAACCGAACGGTGTATTTATTTATATAACATTAACTTAATTATTTGTTAGTACAATATTGATTAACGTAATGTTGTTTAATTACTACTAATTAATTAAATATTTTTACTCGTTATTTCCATAACTTTCTCATCTCTCTCCTTTATACGGATGACATTTATATGATGTTTTTTTTGTATCTGTCTTCATTTCACTGTACCGATTATGTCATTTGATACGAGTGTGACGTATCGAGGTGTACGCGGTTACTATTAAAACTATCCTCTGTTACCAAATATTGTTGTCCGAATAATCGTTTTTACTATCGTGTATTGTATCTCAACAGAAATTTTTTTTTTAATTGACATACGTTTTTACATCCACGTGATATTCGATTAAAAGTATCGTAATCTGAAAACAAAAATGCACGCAGTGATTTCATCGTCATTCAGAGGATCGAGTGAGTACTTTTGGATTGCTGACAAAGCCAGAAATGTTTCGGTCAATATTTAAGAAAAAAATACGTATCTCGTATTTCTATATGATTCAGAAGAATGCAGACTGCTGCTCTTTCCTATAAATTTGAAACAGTTTATTCACTTTGACTTATTCCTCCTTTTTAAATTTTATTTCACACAAGTTATGCAGAGAGTAATTTAGTAGCAAAGTCGCATCACGTTCTGTAATTATTCTGAAAAGCCTATTATAAACGACTTATAATTTATGACAAAATTTGAGACACAATTCAATCTGTAATTTTATACGTCATGTGACACAGAAAACGTTTAAAATTTCATAAACGTAATTCCGATAATTTTCAATTATATCCTTGCAAATAGAATTCCATCTTGAATCTATCGCGAACTGTAAGTCACGAAAAGCGTTAATTTAACCGTAATTTAAACTCTATTGTCTATTGTCTCCAATTATATTCTTGATAACATAATTTAATTAATTACAATTTACGTAATTCAATAAATCTATTTATGCACGGTTGACCGGTTTACCGGTTTACGGTAATATTGCAAAATGTAAAGTCAAGGTCAGGGACTTCCAATAACGTTTAATGTAGTATCCAATAACCATATTAAGTCGGAAATATCGATAATAACATTTGGAAATATATAAGCGAACTTGCTCTTCAAAGACTTTCTGGCATTTCTATTGTAATTCCGCGATTTCGGCACTTCGTTAACGCCACTTTCGCACCGCGTGGTCGCACGACCGCTCGTGCAAACTCAACCGAATCGATGCACGCGTGCAAACATCTTGCAAACGCTTCAACGCATCGCACGCTGAATTTTACAGGGCGCGTTCGTGCGGTGAAATATGTTGATCTTCTTCGAAAGATAGAGGAGATTAATGAGCCGCTGCAAGCACGAAAATCTAAAATCAGATCTACGCGAGCCGATAAAGCGTGGTACATTATCATAGTAGAGGCCGCGTGTTTACAAAAAGATTGTACTGTCTACTTCGATCTAAGCGCTCAAATACACGGGAGAGGAAATTCTTGTTAAAGGATGCTGATTACTCCATCCTGTGTTTTTCATTTAATAATAATTTTAACAATGTACAATATATCTTTGTTTATGAAATTCACAAAAAATAAGGGAGACTTCCTAAAATATTTTGTCCTAATATATTTAATGAAAATAAGTAATGCATTAACATTATTACTGTTATTATTCTTTATTAATACGTCAGCATTGTTTAAAGCGCTGTATAGTTCACGCTAACAATGTACCATTCGCAGAACGCAATAAACGGATTAATCTCGCGGATCTTGCGAAGCCCAATATCGTAATTAAAGAGTTACAGCGATATCTCTCTGTACTTGTGATTATTAGCTGCATTCCTGCCAATTGAAATGCAACGATAGTATCGACGCGGTGCTGCTGTAGGGCTTACCGAACATTTAAACGTACGTTGTAAATTCGCCGGGGCGATTATGCACTCGTGAAAAGCGCCGTGATACGCGCGCGATAAACTATAAGAAAAACGTCGCGTCGCGATAAGTGAATTTATTACATTCGTGCGCGTAATTGCATTTTAATATTTTTGTCTTCTTATTATATTGTCACTGCGAAAACACACATGGAATGCGTCGCCCTTCGTTGATCTGATTGAATATTTAATAGCTCGAATTTTTTTTCTTGAAAAATACTCTTAATTTATAAAAATTATGAATTTTATTAATTTATAAAATTTGTGAAAATAGCATTGACTCACACGAACGGAATGTATAATTCGTGAACCACTTTTATTAGTTTTCGTTCTCTCGATTAATTTCTTCTTTTTTATAAATGTCGATTATATATTGAACTTTTTATTGTACTCAACTTATATTTTCGGAAACAACAACGTGTCTGTATATTTTCTAATTTTTTTCTTTCTTTTTTTTTTTTTAATTGTGTTCAAACCATATATTTTTAAGCGGCCTATCGCAATCCTTATAGAAATATCATACTAAGAATCATTGATAATTACTTATTTTCAGTATTAAAAATACTGGATAATAAGTAATTATCAATGATTCTTAGTATGATATTTCTATAAAGGAAGTAGACAGTTCTTCAGATTATTTTTGGAAATAATAAATTTTTCCTCTGTTTTGTTTCGTGGAAACCTGAATTCTGCGAAAGAAATGCATACAGTGTTCTTCTTGTTCCTTTTATCGAGATCTTTAAAAAGAACCACATGCTTACGTATATGTTGCATTCGCGAGTTGTTGCCATATTTTCGAAAACTTTGACATCCATCAGATTCTTCGAAACATGTTTTAAACGTTCGTTCTTATAAACTCGTCCGTTCTGCACGAGAAACGCGCAGAATTTTCTTCCTCGTTTCGTCGAGATATTTGCAATGACTATACATACACACACACACACACACACACATACACACGCGCGCGCGCACACATACATATTCCAGAATCACGCTCTTTGTCGAGTTATACGCTTCATTTGCAAGTTAGTTTTTTCCATTTTTCGACATTTTTTAATATTCATATATGTAAATTCCACGCCACTCCTACCTATGGAGTGTGATTATACGTCGGCGAGAAGTTTCGATCAACCGTCGGTGAAGGCACCAGGTGTCGGAATTGCTGTGGGCACCACCGTTTTACCGACAGATGAACGCAACGAAGTCTCGCTCTCTATGAAACTACAATCATTTATTAATATCAAATACGATGCAAATATAGCCTAGAAAAATTGCAAATAGGAATACACAAAGACGTGTTCCATACAGAAATGAGCTTTTTCGAAATATTTCCTGGCTAAAGTCTCGCGACTATATTAAGCGCGACAATTTTAATCTTTCTGTAAATAATAACGTACTTGCAGGATGCAATTAAACTCGGCGAAATTTTTTTACATTCTGGAAAGTAACACACACATACACACACACATACACACACACACACACACTCATACGCACACACAAATTTTAAAACTTTAAACCTCTGCTCTCTAAATTTCTTGAAATGAAATTTCACTCAAAACAAGCGAAAAGCGACAGTAATTTTACTCGAGACGATAGTGAAAATATTGCCACTCGAAATCACAAGAATAAATTTTTTATTTAAGATTAAAATGGATTTTGACTTCATGTTGATTGAACATTGATAAATTATTGCTCACGATCATCCACCAATCTTCTTTAATTAATAACTCAAAAATCTTTCTGGTTATTTGCAAAATGATGTACGACCTTCTTGTTCAATTTGACCTAATTTACAAGCATACGACGGTAGACGTTGCTATTATCTATGGTATTACGTGCGTGATCATTTGCCAATCTCTTTTAACTAACTTTTTCAATTGACTAACAACTCAAAGTTTCTGCTTGTTTTCAAAATGATTGAGAAATTTTGTGTTTAGTCTGACCTAACTTACGTGTACATGCGATATGGGACACTTATTTTATCAAATATCCTGTATAATCTATAATTATTACATATTTAATCTATAATTATTACATAGTATATAGTTAGTCTATAATTATTACATATTTCCTGCAATTATCTTGAGTTACTTGAGTTAGATTCGTGTGAAATATTCACCTCTTAAAGAATCTCCTTGAAAATTGAGACAAAGATAAATGGAAGGTTAAAAAAGAAAAAGCTGTCCCAACGAAAATTAGAAAATATTTTATTAAATATATTTTATGTTTACGACATAATACACTCGACATTGAGAGTAGCACTTTCGCTTTGTACGATGCTGCATAATCAATCAGTTGCATTACATAAGCTCAAGGCCAGCTTGTCTCGATTACTCACATTGTGACCTTTAATTATAACATATCAAAATCCGCAACAGAAGAATCCGCAATTCATTTTGTAATTTTTGATGGTATTTCAAAACATATAACTTTGTTATCTCCTTCCCGCAATGCGTAACGTACGGTCAGTGCAACCTGTAAACAACGTTATAATAAATATTTATAATCGGGAAAAAATCAATAGAATTACAAAAGAATAAGCCGTGCTCGTTATTAAACGAGAGAGTCATTCAGTCGAACACCGTCGAAGGTGTCTATAAAATTATGCGTGTCGCGTTGATACACGTTAAGTGATTGATATTTATTATCATGAATCATCGAAATCATGAGCGTGATTGCACGGAAAATTCCTCGTTAAAAAAGAGAAAAAGAAGTTACGAAGTTACTGACCCTGGGATATATCGACAGCACGTCAAAACTATTTCTGTAGACATATTCGACTCCTGGCTGCATCGGGCATCCGGCTTTGCTACCGTCGACATTATAAATGTTGTCGCAGGCGTTTGTTCCGTCGACTCCCACAAACGGTAAGGGCACGTTGAAGAGTAACGCGCTTACATCGTTGATCAAACTGTTAATCACTCGTTCGGGCGTAAATCTGGCTTGTATGGTAACCTTGGTGCCTTGCTTCAACAGACATGTAGGTACGTCACAATCCGTTACCATAATCCGAATGCCGTCTTTTAATGGAAGCTCTGAAATTATAAATTATCGCTATATCAATAAAAAGTGTCAGTTCGAGCGACGAACGTTAACAGTTGCAATGTGATTTACAATTTGCGCTCCATAAAGAAATGTTTACATACCACGAAAGAGAGTTAAAGAGTATCTTTTATATATATATATATATATATATATATATATATATATATATATATATATATAATAAAGAGTAATAAAATAATGTTCGCGAATTTTTTGCCAGTAACGACGTGTATATTTAATCGTACTTCGTTAAACGAACGATACCTGATTCAAATATATTATTGTTGACCGTAAAAACACCAATGTCGCCAGTTGCGGTTGAAAACAACAATATATATTCGCGACGTGCGTGTAATACCCGCTGTGTTCTTGTATAATACGCAGAAGTCGCATGCTTTAAATTATTTTATTATTTGCGTTTATTGTTGTTTATTGTTGTTTATCATGTTATACACTCTCTTTCTATCTCGCAAAAATATATATCGTGCGAATATATAATTATTTTAGCAAAGAACCAAAGGTTGTTAAGTTTAATTTTATCACTTCGAAGTAGTTTACCTTGAAACACTTGGTCTCCTTCACCGAACCTCAAAGTCATTTGCAGCATCGCTAAGGATGCGAAATAAGAGAAAGCAATACATCGAACATATCCAATTCACATCGGTGCATACTTCTCTCTTTTGCTACTCTCGCGGAAGTCGAGTACAAAGTGCTAGTTGATGCTTAGTTAATAATTAAGTAATTTAACGCAAGTAGCAACGACAGTAACATCTGCCTTTTAAAGACCGTTCTCAAGTATTACGAGCGACAGCAAATTTCAATTGAGCAAAGTTTCGCGAAAAATGAAATCACACAAATTTGTTCGGATATGTTACATTGTCGATGTTAATAATATATGGTTCGTACGAAATTATTGTTCAAAACGAATGTCACATGAACACAGAGATTTGTCTTTGCTGATCCATTTGAAAAGGTAATTATACGTTGGCCTGTTGTGATTACATTCGCGGCTGAAGGTCAACATACGAGTAGTTATAGACGAGGATATTCGGTCAGCGAGAAGCAATTTTGAACGATAACTCGAATACTAATCTGTCGCGTGCGAGGGGCGATTAATTTGAAATTTAAAATTCGCGAGAGAGAATTAAGCGAACATGTAAAGGAAACACTTTTCAAATTTTGTAAATCCTTTCGTAAATACGTAAAACACTCGCGTCACGCGTAACGCTTTTTCTGAATGTAGTTTTTGTAGTATAAAATTTTTGCAAGTACATTTTATTTAAATGTGGTGTCGCTGTAATATACAATAACCAATTATCACGATTTCCAATACATCAAGCATGAGGAAATTCTATTCGAGAATCTGATATGAACTATGTTAGAAGCATTATGTTTGAATTGGAGATAGAACACATTTTTTCTAGGATAAATTATTCGATCAAAAACAAACTTCTTTAGATCGCACAGATGTTGAAGAAACAAATACGTCAAAATATCAAAGTGATACAAAGCGCAAAACAAAAAGATACATGTAACATCTCATACGACAGTGCGATGTTTTTTACACTGATATTCCTGTGTAAGAGAAACAGAGAAATAGAGAGAGAGAGAGAGAAAATTGCAAGTTAAGATGCTACCATCGTCTTAAATCATACGCTTGAGGTACGCCAAAGAGAAGTACCGTTTAAAAATGTACAGTACGAAACAAAACACTTATACGCGGTGTAGTCGGCTTCAAGTTTCTAATGCAGCATTGAAATCCTAAACATGTTGGTCGTAAATTAACACTCACGTTAGTATTCCGCTCGTCACTTTCACCGCACGTCAATTATGTTTCCCCATAAGTAATTACACGTGAGTATTAATAACAATGCAGCAGCTCGTTGTCTCGCTCGTATCGCACCTTCCAATAATTAGCAGTCATTAAGCTCATCGCGCAATGATAAAGTTACAAGGACACTAATTACACCCGTTATACCGTACATGAACGGAACAGTCTTCGACATCGCGCTCAATGCTCATTTTGCACGACTCGCGTGACAATTCTCAATGTCATTTTCTAGGGAAAAATTCCACTTGAGCAATTTGTCGTGCAGTCGCGCAAACGTGCCCGCGACGATATTACGCGCCTCCGCAGAATTGCGCAAGAAAAATTAATACTCATAAGCGTTTATATAAGCGCAATATATAATACAATTTCGAAAATCGTATCGTACCGATCGCTTGCTTGCAATGAAATTTCAACGCAACGCCGCGAGAAAGTTCCACGAGAGTATTCCATGATATGTCAACAGGTTTTCACCGAGTAGCACGGTAATCTTAGAGCGCACGTAACTTAAGACTCGACTCAAGAGGGACATAGTCCCCTCGATAGGATGAAAAAGAAGGCAATAGCTTTACAAGAAAAAAGAAAGTTACAATCAAATCTACAAATTTCGATATTTGATATTTTCACAAGATTTCTTATTTGAAGGACGAAAGTCCTCTCCGCATTACGCATTTGATATAACAATCTCTATCATCAATCACTTAATTGTTTTCAAACGAATTTCTCCGTCCTTCGTCGTATTGCACGCACTTAACTACATTTCGACGACCTATCACACGAGAAAAAAGATCGAGAGGAAATAAAAATTTAGTTTAGTTTGCGATTTTTTAAAAGGATCACAAACGAAACTGAATCACGAGATCCTGTTTTTGAAGCGTAATTTGTGGAAAAAAAACTATTCGAATTAGATAACGATTAGATATCACGTTTCTTGCGTAATGCCCGCGATTTCCTGTTGTACGTACCATTTTCACAATTGTTGACTGTGGTCGCACCAGCAAGTACGGTAAGTGCCGCGAAAACGAAAAACGTTTCCCTCAGCATCCCGGTGAAAGTATTTCGCACCACGTTTGCTTGACTGGAAAACCTCGTCTGCGTTGTACCGGGTGCGACTAGGTCCGACTCTGGCTCTCGACTGACGACTGCGACTTGTACGCGCCTCACTGTGTATCAGTACGTCAAACTTCTGGTTTAAATAGACTTGATCACTTTAAGGAAGGGGAACATTAAACGAAGTATTCATGTTCGCATGGCATAATTTACGCATTAATTAAAACAAACGTACATTTATCGGAATAATTCTAGCATAAATAAAATCTTAGTGTGTGTTAGAAAATACAAAGAGAGAGAGAGAGAAAGTGAGAAATAGTGTGCGACATTTTATGTTATTATCCAGTGTTAATATAGATACAAAAGATATTAAATTTGCTCAAAGTTCCAAGGAAATCCTAATATATGAATAAGACTATTTATATATTAGCAAAGAATAAAAATGACTGCTGAATTATGTGTAAAATAACAAAAATATGTCACAAAAATCTATTAAAATTCAAAATTACAACTTGACAATTGCTTGATTTTATTTCTTAATCTCATGTAACTAAAATATACAATTACATAATCTTTATATCTTTGTATGATCACTTTATATCTTTATCGATCTATCATATCGTTGAAATCTGTTTAGTACCTTACGCGCTAAAAATTATTATTATCACCAATGTATAACTTTAATGTCTCTCAAAATATTTTTTTTTTCCGGAATTATTAAGTTATAATTTTTAATTTATTTCAATAATATTGTAAATACAAATAATTTAATATATATAATAAGACGAGTTTATTAATAAATTATATTAATATTAATAAATTTGTTAAAATCATTTTTATTAATAAATTATATATAATATAATTTACTAATAAATTATTAATATTATATAAATTATATTGGAATTAAATTAATCGGGTTTTTTAACTATGTAATTTTGAATTTTAATAGCTTTTTGTGATATATTTTTGTTAAAGATAATTCAACAGACATTTTTATTCATTGCTAATATATAAATACGTATTTCTTATACGTATTTCTACCTTTTGGTTGTTCTGTTTACTTATTTGAAACTATTCCTCTAATCTTTTGTTCACCTCTTCTACTTTTACCAATCTTATCAAACTCTACGTATTATGACTTTACATAACTGTATAATTTACATTATTATGAGACTATGATTCTTTTTATCTCAACACAAGTATAGCGAAAATACTTTTTTACTCGTCTACATCATTCTCCTGAGATATTCAAATCATAAATCTGAAGCCTCAATAAAAAAGAAGATTATTCATAATTAAAGTGTTATATGCAAATTCAAAATCTATCCTCTCGTTCTTTCCTTTATTATTGATTTTATAAAATTTTAAGAATAAATACGCGCGAAATGCGCAACATTAAATAAATTGAATTTGAACATGTATCAAACAACACGCAACGCAATTATTGTAAATTTCCCAATGTTCTATCAAATATCTTTGGGAAAATTTTAACGTTATCAAAATTAAGTGACTGTTAAAGTAACGTTGTAACGACGTTCTAGACGAGAGACTTTCCACATTAAAATTTTACTCCTTAAAACGTACGCGTTAGTTAGTGCGCAGGTCGTTAGTATTAACCTTTGAAAATTACGGCCAGTATTATATGGTTAGTTAACGACCTTTGTGAGAAATAAACACCCAGCCGAGTATGATAAACAACTCAATAATTTTTAAAGACGCGCGAGAATTCAGCGTTTAAATCGAGACTCGGAATTTCGACTCTTCATAATATTTGATTCCTCCTTTTTTTACTTTCGTCTCGTTCATCTCGACCCAACGAAACGGAAATGAAACGGACCACCATGGTCACAAGAACAAAGCACCGGAAATTAAGAATCTCTGTCCACTATCTCGTCCTTTTCCTTCTCCGTTTCTGTTGTTCTCACTCTTCTCTCTCTCTCTCTCTCTCTGTTCATCTCTACCATATCTCCTTCTCCCTATCTAGTTTTGATTCTTTTGTGAGTTGAAACTTCTTATTTTTATCAGCGAATAAAATCGCGATTAATGCTCGTAAAGCGTGCGTTCTCGAAATTATTGCAGCCACGTCAACATCATGTCGACTGATGTATCTCGTCGAAACTCGACGTGCATACGAAGCAAGAGAACTCGACGTAAATCATATTCTGAGGAGCTCGTTATAGATATCTTACGTTTAATAATCGAATAATAAAAATTTCTCTCTCTCTCTCTCTCTCTCTCTCTCTCTCTCTCTCTCTCTCTCTCTC